GTCTTCTGCGCCTTTACTTACATTGTTGCGCAGATCATGCACATTTATAGCTTGCATGGCTGCGGCATCCAGGAACTAAAGGGGACCCCGACTTTCTAATGTAACACCGGACGGTAAAAGAAATTCTGCAACGGGATTTATACAAGTTAAATTGGATTTTTATTTATGCGGCACTTAGTTTAATTCTTGTACTTTACAACGCGAATAAATTGTAAATATTTATGAGATTGAGTAGCTTATTTAGATACTTGGATTAACGTGCTAAATTAATGCGATTGATCTAAATAGAATAAATAGAATGAAATTAAGTAGTAAATATTCACGAACTTTGATATTATTTTAATCTTTATTATCGTACAGCATTCTATATACTCATACACTAAGTTAAAATAAACCAATAGTAAATATTCATATAAATAACTTATTTTGAAAACTTGTAAACAAAATATTATTCATTAATTAATTAAAATAATTGCAAGCTTATAAAACGTCAAACGAATAGTTTAATAATTCTTTTATTATTTCAATTTTTCAAATAGTGTTGATAATAATTCAATGACTAGCGACTGTTCAGTTTCTTTGATTAATAAAAAAAATTATTCTGGTGGTCGGCTTTGAACAAAAATATGGATATTCCGGTGGATTTATACCACAATTTAAACCGACATCAAGCGAAGGTCGTAGAAATTTGACATCGAATATTTTTGACAAGATCTTAGGGATTAAGAACGATAATAATTACTATTAATTTAGATATAAAATCATAAAAATTACAAAAAAACTTTACCTAGTTTCTTATTCTACCATAAAGATTATATTTTACTGATCTGATGAACTTTAATAATGGATCATCAGGTTGAGAGGGAATTTAAACCGACATCAAGCGAAAGTCATAGAAATTCAACATCGAATATTTTTGACAAGGTCTTAGGGATTAAGAACGATAATAATTACTATTAATTTAGATATAAAATCATAAAAATTACAAAAAAATTTCTTATTCCATTGTAGAGGTTATTTTTAACTGATGTGATAAACTTTATGAATCATCAGGTTGAGAGGGAATCGAAACGCCGTAATGTGTTATAATATATATCTTTCTTGTACGTTCAACGTTACAAGTAGGATATTCATAACTATTTAAATTTATAATCCGAGCCTTTGCTTCTATGAGACGTAAAGAGTCATATACCGAAGTGTTTAAAAGTTTATGGGCACAATCTTCAATATATCTATAAAATATTTCATTTTTGATGTAGTTAATTATCAAGAAGTACTCAAGACAAATATTCTTATATAAAATCATTAAACTCGTCGAAGAAGTATTTGGATTACTCTTATATAAGGGTATTTAAATATTCAGAAAATGAATTATCTTATACAAGGGTCTTCATTCAAGAGCAACATTTGATTTTACAATACGGTATTTTAATAAAAAAAATTATACTTGCCATTATTTAAAAATGAGGTAAATTATTTATAGATCACACAATATTTAAAATCTTAGAATTTATGTAGAAAAGTTTTCTAATCTATTTAAGTTTTGAAGAGGGTGAAGTATCTAAGTTTGTAAAACGCTGCCTTTAACAGGTTTGAAATGTTTTTTAATAAGTTTAATTACGAGTCTTTTTTAGTAGTATTTATTAAAAAACTAACTGATTATAACAATTACATCACTGATCATAGTAACTAAAATTCATCCTTTTTTTTAAGTTTAATACTAACGTTTTGCTATTTTGAGTTTATCACTTTCAAGTTAAATAAATTTTCGTCAATTTTATCATAAAAATTTACTGTACCGTGTAAAGTTTTTAATTGAAACAAACATACCTACTTTAATCCGAAAACAACTAGCTAGTGTTTTTTTTCGAGTTTACCACAAAATCCCGAAAGGACCTAATACCGACAAAGTTAGCCGGCATTAGTTATAATGCTGGCCAATTTTACAGCTGTTCTCATAAATTCTGGGACAATGATAAAAATTGCCCGATGATCGTTTGGCCGAATTCGATAAGTTTTTGAATTCGACATTGCTGTAATGCCGAAATCCAATACCGATAACACCGAATTCAAAAACTTATCGAATTCGGCTGAAACAATTTTTTTCAGTGTCCCAGAATTTATGAGAACAGCTATAAATTTAGTCGGTATTATGTTTTTCGGGAAATGGTTTTCGGAATTTTTGTGGTAGAACCGACCTCCCTGGTGCATTGACTGACGTACAGATTCGTCAGATACTTGATATTCCGATCCAGTTTTATTTAAGGCATATGAGGTTTTTATAAATTTTGTTGTTAAAAAAAAACTTTATTTAGGGGCTTGACCTTAATTCAGTAATTCAATTGTGACTCATCACTGGGCAATTCAGAGTTGTAGTTAGGGTTCGAGGCACGGTGCATGGGCATGCCCTAGTTATGTAGATTCCCACTTACGGTATACTGTATATATCGTATCTGATTGGTCAGAACCCACCTAGCATGACCACCAAAATCAGTTACGTAATCGCTATTTAAAAATCTGATACCATTTTTTTTGGCACATTATAAATCGTATTTTTAAAATTGTATAAAAAAAATTTTTAGTGCGTAAAAAAAATATATGTTCATTTGAAATTGTTCAGTGACCTTTATTATCTAACTTTACATGCTATAACATGAATTTATTAATTGCGGATAAAAAGTATTTTCGTTTATGCTAGGTTACTGTAAAGTTTTTTGTCTGATTCAGATTTGGTTTATCGTTTGCCATCTTTTGAATTGGTTTGAAATTTTGATTCAATGTTTTTTTTTTAAATCACCTCTTTTGCTGCAGAAGATTATCAGACCTTTCAAAAGGCCAATCGTTATACTGGAGTAGTATCGATATTAGATGCTTCTATTTATTTATTTTTTTTATATTGCTCGATAATTTCTAATTAGTTTCATCTTCATTTGATTCGTCTTCTTCTACAATATTATTATTGTCAAGAACCGTTGAATTGATTGTAACTCCGTACATAACTGATTTTGGTGGTCATTCTAGGTTCGTGGATTGGCCAGTATGGTCGGAGGTAATCGAAAGTAATCGGAAGTGTAGATACCAAAGACGAGAAAAAAATTTTTTGGTTTATATAAAAAAAGGGCATGCCTATGGGCATGAGGGGCACGCCTCAACTCAGGGCATGCCCTCGGAGGCATGCCTAATTTTTTACCCATGCCTCGAACCTTAGTTGTAGTACAGTCACTGGTGAAAATTTACTTCGAAGAATGGATTGTCGGAAATATAGCTTCTCAAATTTATTTACTTGATTAATGTCACAATTAGATCGATTATTTATTTTAAAAAGCAACAATTAAATCTTAAGTTTCAATTTTTATTTAGATAATATAAGGTATGTGTTATGCATGAACCATAATTCGCATACAAAATTTAAGTTATTTAATTAATTTGATTTTTAGTAATGGTAATTGAAAAAAAAAGTGATCAACTTTATTTAGTGTTTAAGAGATAGATGGAAAATTCGGTTTTCCGTGCATGAACCTTAATTGATCTTTGAGTTTGATATATAGCCGAAATACAAGCTAAAGCCTCCTATAAATGTGTAAGAAAAAATTAAGAATTTGATAAATATTCAAAATCATTTATTATATATGTTCATATGTATTCAGAGCCTTCAAATGACTAGATATGATGATAATCATCCACGGGAACGTTCATTATAGAAATTCAAAATTTACACACATTTTTCACAAATTAATAACAATTTTAATGGGCTCTAGCAATATTGCGAGTACTCCCATCATTTTGTCATTATTTTATATTTTTCTGACGATTATAAAAATATGGATTAATTAAAAAAAATAAATTCTATCAAACCTTGCGCAAATCAGGGCGATATCCAGCGCGAGTAAAAGTGTTAGTGAAATTATAGTTGTTAGACGAAACCTTTTTCGCATGATGACGAAAAACGAAACCTAAACCCCCAAAAGATGAAACCTCTGACGAATGTCGAAACCCTAAATTCTTCTGACGAAACCTTAAACTTAAAATGACGAAACCTTATGCAAAACATACTGGCACAAAATAGAATTATCACAAAGTAAGCACCAAGCGATTTCTCACTAGAACTGATATGTAGCGTACTAGTATAATATCCTTTACAATTCAAGCGCCTATTATACAATAAAATTTTTGCAATTTTTATATATTTCTGTTTTTTATTTTTTTACACACACATTTATTCTATATTCGTCATTTATTAGGTTTATTACCCTTTACAGTTTCGTCACCTTTCGTCAGTTTCGTCAGTTAGGATTTTAATGGACGAAAGACGAAACTAGGTTTCGAGCGCGAAACCTCGAAGTTTCGTCTAACAACTATAAGTGAAACGGATCTCCTTTAGTATAGGTGACACAATATAGAAATATTATAAGATTATATATAAATAAAAAAACTCTAACCCTAACCCTCACCCTCACCCGAACTATATATTTATAAATTTGTTTAAATTAGTTCAAATAGTTATTTTTTTATATATTATAATCTTATAATATTCTATATTGTGCCACCTATTAACCATTTAATTTATATTCTCTGTTCTATTAATCCCACTAATCTAGTACGTAAGTGGTATTTATTTATTATGACCTCATTACATTAAAAATTTTTCAAATGAAGTTTTGATACAACAAAATAAATCAACTAACGCTAATGAATTAATAAAAAACGTAACTTATTGTATTACTCTAACTAAACATTAAATGCCCTCGGTAATTAATGTTTGCATTTTATTTAGTGTATGATCTTTTTCCTCTATAAAAAACAAAAATGGACTTAGAACACTTTTTAATATTGGTACGATTATCGACATGGTATTGGAGTTAACTGTTTAAAAGACGAAAAGAAAGCTTTTGAATATTATATGAAAGAAACTGAATTAGGAAATCTGAATGCAATGAATATTGTAAGAGAGTGTTATGATTATGGAATTGGGTAAAAAGAATTGCCAGAAAGCTTTTGAAATCTGCTGATTTGGGAACGGAATACAGTATATATTCTTGATTCTTATTATAAAAGTGAAATTGGGGTCGATCAAGATTGCAATAAAACATTTGAATACACTAAAAGAGCTGCTAATATGGGCGTTAAATCTTGATGTTGCGTAACGGTATTGGTATAAAGAAAGACATTCAGAAGACAAATTATTGGTTCACAAAATATAGAAGTCTTTTGAAAACTAATAAACCATCAGATCGTATTAATCCTGAACTTAAGAGAGTATTAGACGATGAGGTATTTAATTGATTATGATGAGTTCAGAAATTCAAGAAATGAGGAAAAGGAGGATTCGCAGCTGTATGTTGGGCAAATTGGTTCGATATAGAATTAATAATACGCAGTTGGATGTAGTGTTTGTAACCGATTATTATTTATCGACTTGATATTTAAAATTCGGAGATTTCATCAAATTTTTGTCGCGACCTTGCTCGTATTTTATTTTTCTTCGGAATTTTTCGGCTCCTACTCTTAGTACTATGTACCAAGAGAGTAATGATGCTCCGGCTCGGCTACGGCTCAATCATAATGAAGTTGAGCTTTTTAGCCGAGCCGTTTTTTAACCGAGTTGGCAAGAGCCGCGGCTCCAATTTGATTACTATTATCATTATCGTTATAAAAAAAAATTTATTTTGGCGGAAATTTATTTAGCGGAAATATACGTACGCACATACAAATATCTTTTATTATAATTTATATTTTGCAAACATGTAGAACATAGTACAGGAGCGTATGATTAAAATTTTTTTTAAAAAAATATTTTTGAAAAAAAAACTTCTAAAAAATAAACTGTCTTTATGAATCTTACGATATTATCGTCATCGTTATAGTTTATTATAGATTATTAATTTTTTATTAATTACAGTAATTACGACATCGGCTCGCGGCTTTGCGGAGCCGTTTTGCATCACTACAAGAAAGGTAATGTATCGAATCTGATTGGTACTTTAATATAATCTAACATAAATCGATTTTTTGGAAATCGGCTGACCAAGTCGGCTAAGTCGATAAAAATCGACTATGCGAATTCGACTACAAACACTAGTGGGATGTTGCACATAAAGTGATTCGTGATTCAAAAAAAATGTGCAAGAATTTATCCAAGAATTGAAGAATTATTATGAAATTATTACAAGAAACCTTCGTTCTTGAAATGTATTGGTGTATCAAGAAATAACTATGATGATTATAGCTATGAAGCTTGCAAAAAAAGATCGTTACGACAGAATTTTGTACAAGTATTACAAGTACAATTAGACGAAAAGATAAATTGAGTATTTTGCACGGTATAGCTTTTGATCTCGAGTCAATTCATTCGCAGGAACTCGTTCAGAGATTTACACCGCAGAAATATTTTGCATAGCACTAAGGTAGTAACACGTACTATATCACTTAGTGATTGGACCCGTCAAAAAAAAATGCCACCCGGGTCACCCGCAGGTGGATCCATGAGCCACCCGGGTAGAAACCTGGTGGGTCAAAAAAAGCAACCCGTCGGGTGGACTCATGAGTCACCCGGGTGAAAATAGATATCGGGTAGAAATTTACTAAGAATTCATTGTTTATTATGCTTGATATGTAAAAAAATGTAAAAGTAATTCTTACAAAAAGATGGTTTGTATGGTAACCTTTAAAAATTTACCTCCGATTCATTGAGTGGGTGCTTGAGAACACCCTTAGGGTTCCAAGTCTGACTTGGAACTTACTCGCATTTCATGCGCATCTTGAAGAAAGTGTATTCATGCATATTTTGCATTTTTTTTTTGTGGCTTTTTTTTCTATAGATCTACAACTTTCTACTTTCTTTTTGTGGCTTTTTTTTTCTATAGATCTACAACTTTTTATTTATGCTTGAAACCTGTTTTAACAAAGTATGCAATGCAAGAAAAAAAAGATATTATATAAGTATTATTTTGGTTGTTTTTTAACTAAAAAAATGTCTTCTAAAAAAAAAAATTACCTACTTTTATGAAAATTGGCATTTTCTTTTCTTAGTTCAGATACTGTTAATTTTAGGTGAGGAGATTGAATGTGTATACATTGGAAGAAGAGTTAGAAGAAAGTCACCATACTATAAGAGAAAAGAGTTAGAAAGTTTTAAGAAGAGTAATCAAAAAACCTCTAAAAAGATATCTTTATATCTTTTTTAATTTCTTAAAAAATTCTCACATCAAGATAACTCAAATAATTGTGAGAAAATGATAACCTGCACTAATAGAAGCTTGTGGGTAAGTTATAGTACTGTTGAAGTTTTGAGAAGTAAAAATATAAAAACAGAGTAAGTTTATTTCACTAAGTTAATGTATGTGTATTGTGTTCTAAAGTTAGAGTAATAACAGATATTATGTAATTTTCTGAGGGGGGCTTTTTGATTTTTTTATATAAAAATATAACTTTATAATAGCCAATTAAATTTCTCTTATGTGAGAAAGGGGGTAGAGGGTATAGTAAAAAAATATTATATAATATCTGTTACTACCTTTACACTACTACTATTGATATAAAATATCTGAAATGAAAGCTCTTTGTAGCCAACAGTTTCAGCTGTTGAACTTTTTTCAGTTTAGAATTGAAAGCATATTGTGGCCAACTTTTTTGTTGAATGTTCTTCTTGGTTTTAGAAAAATCATGATTTTTTATCATATTACTCATTATTTTATACATATAACAGGCAATTAAGGGATAGTGGCATTGACATATATGGGTATATATACATATATACAGTGTTTCTTTTGCAATTCAATGCAAAAATTATATGATAAGATACTTTACAAACCTATTAGCAAAATGGGCTAACAATGCAGTGATCAATATATTTAATTTTCTCAAACCTAATTTTAATTATCCTTTGAGTTGATATAAAAAAAAATTAGTAAAAATATATTTTTTAATTTTTTTATTTTCTTAATTAATTTTTTAAATTTTAGGATCTCCAATTATCTGGAAATTGATAGAGGCTCTTGCTTTAATATCTTGCTAGGTTCTAGGCATTATAGTGATTCCTTCAAAGAATAGTAGATAGATAGATATTTATATGCCTAGTATATATAAAGCTACTAGTTTTTTTTATAATTACAAAAACTTTTTCTCTACAAAAACTCTGTAAAATATTGGCTTTAACTCATGTAAGCATATATACTTATTTTTTTTTTAATTAATTTTATTAAATATTTATTGGAATTGCAATTTCATAGATAGGAATTGGAGCTTCAATTTCAACCCTTTTCTTGATATATTTGAATAAGATGTTTTTTTTTTTAACTTTGGCGTATCTTGCCAGGTATTTATTTTAGTAATTAATTCATGTGTACAAATGATACTAGCTAACTAATATAAATGGTAAGTGATAAACTCTAAGCCTGTCGGCAAATAGCGTATGAGAACTATTTCTAAACGACAGGTGCCTGTACCATAGAACTAATGATTACTAAAACACCTGACCCCACCCGGTTGCTTTACTAAGCCCTAGATGTGATAGCTGCACCACTTTTTATTGTGGAACCGCACCAAATCTCAACATTGAAGTCAGTGACTAACTTTTTGCTAGGGTATATGTTCCACCCATGTATTCACCCAGGCTTCGGTAACCTACCGCCACAGCTTGACCTATGCACTTGGGGTCAGGGCTAACCATTGAACCCCTATCTAACTAGTACCAATTATGCTGCCATAACCAAGTTCGTATCTCAAACCACCCCCAAAGGCCCAAGGGTGCTGCTGCAACCCAATTCGACAAGCCACAACCTTCCTAATTAGACTTGTTACCTACTTCTGCCCTTGTATAGGTTCACAACAATCGTCTTCTTACCTGGATTCTTTATCAGTCCCTCTCTTACTTCCAGCCGGCAACTCGGAAAGGTTGGTCTGCCCAGGCTTTAGGTGCCTGAAGGACACCCTCCCCTTGGTATATACTTTCTGAGTGTATGTCCTTTTCCTCCGGTGCAACAACCCAGCAGTTCAGCTGGTATGTTCTCTGCCATTAGGACCTGGTCACTTGGTTCTCTGATCTCGGGCCCCAGTTCAAATTCAGCCCTCTTGTGATATACTAGATTACTTTTATTTTTATATAGTTTATTAAAACTTTAATATTTATTTTATTATATACTATATTAATATTTTAATACAACTTCATATATTTTTTCAAATTTTTAATTTTAGTTTTTGATATAATATATGGTTTAAATTATACTGTATATTTTTTTTAGTTTTAATAGTTTAGTTAATTAATATATATATTGGTTTTTTTTTTTAGTTTATTTATTTTAAATATCTTTTTTGCAGAACTAGTTTTTATAATAATAACAAGTTAGTTTGCAAAAAAATATAAAAATTTAGCTATCATAGCAAAAATATTATTTTAATGCTATATATTTAAAAAAATTTTTATAATTTTTTAAACAAATTTTTAATTTTTTACTAGATAATTTATAAGCTTTTTTTAATTAAACCAATAATATTATAAATTTTTCTAAAAAAATTTCTATTTTACATAATTTGTAAGTTATTCTAAACAAGAAAATTCAACAAACTATTAATACAGTGTTTCATAAAAAATTGCTTTACGAATGATAACCAATTAAATGCAAATTTTGATCAGCCCACATAAATTCAACGCGCGTAAAAGAACAGAAAAGTGAGAAAATGAATGAAATCGACCTTTTAACTTTATATATTTAGAATTTCTTGGTTAATCCGATAAATTTTTATTATCTTTATCGGTCGTAAAGTCTTGGATCACTAGTATCACTAGTATCACTTGCAATCTGCCCTTAATACAATAATATCAACTTTTAATCGATCTCTCGTTATTATCAATATCAGATGATTTTCTATACAAGTTTCTAATACTCTTTCATTTATTCCTTATATATGTTACCCAAATATTTCGGTTCCACTAGATTGATATCAAGACCGTACTTAGGGTTTTAGTTAGAATACATCACAAAATTTCAAATAAAATTATAATACAATTTATTGTAAACGAATTTTAATGCAATAATTGAGACAGATAATAGCAGCTCTTTTTGACATTACCATATATCCGTATGCATATAAATAAAGAATTAAATAAAAGATGGTTTCTTTTTAAGTTTTTACCAGGTAAATTTCTTTCAATGGAGATAATTAGTAATGTAATGCATTACTTGTTTGTACTTTTTTTGGTTTGTTTTGATGATTTTAACAGTTCAGAATGTCAAAAACAAAAAATTTTTTTGACGCTTTACGAAACCGAATTACGTACTAATTTTTGACGCTTACGAAAACGAATTATACTAATTTTTAACCTTTCGTCCCCATTATGGGTAATTGAGGTTTTCTGTAAGGAGTCCATTGTTCAACTCTACTTTTAGCGTTATCATCCATTTTCTGAGAACTTATTTTCGCTATATCTCGAACCCATTTTTGCATCCTTTCTTTCACCCTTATAATAGACGTATTAGCCGATCTTGTTTTAAGGTACTCACCGTATTCTTCATAATATTCTTCATCCGGATCCATCTTTGATTCAGTTCCGTCGTTAGATTGTTGTTTCTTTTCCGTTATTCTTGCTTTGTATGAATCAGCATCATAACCCAACTCCTTCAATTGACCAAGAATTTTGATTTCGTCTCTCCAATGACTTGTCTCTGCACACAAATTTAACACATACATAATGTCATCATCATCAGGTGCAATGCCAAAATAATGAAAATCATTCCATAATGATAAAGTTTTATCGATTTCTTTTGCATCATCGGCATGGGCTCTTATCATCATAGAAAGCAGCATATGATCTGGCGAAATTCCTTGTTCAATCATTTGATTATACCAATATCTGGCCTGAGTTAAATTGCAACCTTTACTTGCACCCGTGATTATTGCAGTAAATGTTTCTCTATTAATAATATGATTATGCTTATTCATTATCTTTAAATATTTTTCCACTACGGGTATATCATATGATTGAGCGATTCGCCAGAGAACTCTTTCACAAGCATCCTTACTTGGTACCGTTAATCTTTCTATTCGTTCAAAAACTCTTTGAACCAATTTAGGATCCTTAGACTTTGAAGCAGTATCTATTAATCTATTTATGGTCATTTTATTTAGCTCAATTTTGGATTCTAACATGTGACTCACTAATGTGAAAGCTTGTTCGACATCATTCTGTGCCACAAAACCATCAATAAGAGAAGCATAAATATAATTATCAGGTTCAACGTTGTCGTTCTTCATTGCAGTAAATAATCCCATGGCTCTAATCATGTCATTCTGTCTAATATGCGCATTCATTAATATAGAATAGGTTGAAACATTCGGTTTGAACCCAGACTCTTGCATATATGAAAGAATTTCCATAGCGTCAGTATATTTTGATTCTTTGAGGGCTTGATCCATACAAGTGTTGAAATCTGTATGGCTTGGAGTTACTTTATAAGTATTTCTCAGTTTTAATAAAGCTTGTAATCCAGTTATGCCAATCCCTTCGAGAGTAGAGGAATTTGGTTTTACGCCTTCGAGTTCCATTTGATTGAAAAGATGTAATGCATCAGTACGTTTTCCCATTGCTTGTAAAGCTTTTATAAGAATATTATATGTTACTAGTGTCGGATTTACACCTTGTTCTCTCATTTGTTTAATAACATCCATCGCTTTCTGCAATTCTTTTAAATCCTTTGCATTCCTTGCAATTACGTTAATATAAGCATTATAAGTGTAAATATCAGGTTGTAATCCTTCATTAAGCATAATTCTATAAAATTGATGAGCTTGAGGAACGTTACGTCTAGCGGAACACGCACAAAACAACATGGTGAAAGTTTTTTCATTCCTCCTTATTTTTCTCTCAACCATTTCACTATAAAGAGCCATTGCAGTATCGGATTTGTCGAGTTTGCTAATAGCTTTTATCATTATATTATAAGTTATGGTGTTTGGAAGAATATTTTGTTTTTGCATATCACCAAAACAAAGATTAATCCCTTTGAAATCTTTTTTCTTCAAGTACATGGACATCATAATGTTATATGTAGACTCATCCGGTTTCACTTTGGCCATATCTCGCATATCTTGGAATATTGACAACATTTTCCCATAAGCCCCAGGAATTGTGAGGTTTTTTACAAATACACCAAGTACTCGGTTGAACTCTGTTACATCCAATTTATTTAAGTTATTAGTATTGAACAATGTTTTGTAATCTTTCCATATATCCTCTGCATCTCTTCCTTCAGTTTCTATCATGATAGATTTTGATGGTTTTTCAAATATTAAACCATTATGAATCGATTTACTGTTTTTAATAAGTTCAATTAAGTTTTTTGAATGTTTAACGGGTTTAATACGTATTAACGTATGGTTTAGACCAAATATTTTATGCATATTTATATCAAGAAAGCGAAATCTGTTAAATCATAATTGATAGATTGATCGTCTATTTATTTGCATGATCGATGAGTAGACATTTATCGTTACCACCTTCGAAATTACAAAACTAAAAAAAAAAAATGAATGTTAATTTTATACCATTTTGATGCTGTGTTAACTAAATATGGTTTTTACCGGTTATATAGTATCACAAAGTCCCTTACGTTGAGATATACTAAAGTAGTTCTCGTAACCCAAATCTTGAAATATTTTACAGTAAATCAAAATAAAAATTTAAATACTAAAAAAAAATTTCGTCGGTCAATCAATCACATATAATGTAAAGTTTGTAACTCTAAAATTTTGTGATTTTAAAATTTGATTGACCGGTGAAATTTTAATTTTAAAATTTAACTTTTTAAACTTTTTTTATTTTTTTAATGTTTCTTTTAAATAATTTATTTAAATTTTTATTTTAATTTGCTTTTTATTTAATCGATTTTTTTTTTTTATCATGAAAATAATATTGAAATCATTATGGTGGGAATAGTTGTAGAAGATTGGTAGGAAAGTGTTACCGGGGAAGTAGTGGGCAATGTTGGGGAAGGCAAAAAGGCGAGGTGGTTGTTGGGATGTGGAGATGTGATTGTCAGGTAAATGGTTGTCAATTACTAAGTAGTTGTTTCGGGGAGGTAATTGTCGAGGAAGTGATTGTAGGTAAATAGTCATCGGATAAGTGGTGGTGTCGGGAAGGGTTTGTCTGAGAAGCGGTTGTTGAGAAAGAGAAATGGTGTTTGTAGGATGTTGGGGAGGTGTTGTTGAAAACAAATCCATATTAGGTTAATGCAATTCGTTATTCACTATTCGGACTCAAACTACTTTGCAAACTTCGGACCAAACCCGGAGTTTGGTTCGGGTTTGGTATTATAAGGATAAGTTTGGTTCGAAGTTTGAAAACTAGTAAAATCTAGAGTTTGAATCCTGGTCCCAAACCAGACCTAAGAACACTACATAAAGAGTATATTTGCATTCCATCATTTCACTGTTTTACAATATATATTAATACAGATAATCTATAGATAATAATCCAAACTTAAAGTAATTATCCGGATAAATTATCTGTTGAATAAAATCATTATCTGTTATCTGTATTATCCAGATAATCCGGATAAAAAGTTTAACAGATCTGAACATTAAACAATTGTAGTTGACTCCTGTTAAATTATTGCAATGCCAAGTCATTTATGTTGCATACTGTTAGATTATTATGTATTTATGTTTTGACTAATAAATCATAATTTATAATAAAAGGATTAACTTTGGTACAAAGTTCTGTTTTGAATCTGTTTGTTTTTTCGAGAGAACATAAT